TCAGTATAAAAATACTGTGCGTAAGCTAAAAATATTGGTTCTGGATCCACATAGATATATGGTTTTATAGTTAGAATGGTTGCTTAGTGCAAGAGTTTCCCGTTATACAATTCAAGTAATGGAATTTGAATCCAATGTTCTTTTTGTGAACTTAAATTTTATTTCAAAAATGCTCCACTTCTCCCCTGAAGTCAGAAAAATTCACATTAAATTACCTTGCAATTCTAAATTACAGTAAGGTACGACTTTGCACAACTTTGTCATGTTTGTCATATGCATTGGCTGTTATTGACTGGCAATCTATCTACTCTGCTTCCCACACATTTACTGCTGGAGGTGACACAGGTAACCTATGACCTATGACCTGGAGCTCGTAGATTCAAAAGAAAGATGACAAGAATCAAATATTACTATAAAAAAGTGTATTTTACTCATTCTCCCCTATATTAGATGAGTCAGACTATGCAGCTCTATCAGATTTAGATCTACAGATGTATAGTAATATTAGGGGTTATTTAATTTTAAACAGAATAAATAACCCTTTAATCAGACAGGAAACATTTGGAGAAAAGCTTTTTTTTTTTTTTTTTACATTTTACAAAATGAAAAAAATGTAAGTAATTTTCCAGACAATCTATCACCTTTACCTGACACTCTGACAATTTATCAATTTGAACGCTAAGCAGTATTATAGAAGTAAAATATTTTACAAGTTTAGTCTGCTCATCTAAATAGAAAATCTGTGGGTGGGTTAAACTCAATGATAAATGCTCTTCTGTCCCTGAAGAACAATTATACAAGTTACATAACCGTTCTTGGGACGTTGCCTTGTTACAAGAGAAGTACATTTTCCAAGTGGTAAATCTGGGCAGGCTCCACCAGTTACATGACTGCTGGAGATACTTCAGTACAGGTATACGAGTGCTGAAATTCAACATCGTTTGAAAAAAGAACAAGAAGAAACCGTGCTTTCATAGAGAGAATATTTGATTTACGAATTAACAAGACAAAAATGGAATTATTTTCACTGTTTACCTCTGGCATACCTTATTGTACTCTAGAGAGAATAAAGCATAGGAGATGAGAGTAATACATACATAAAATCTTGTGCTAGCTAAACATTCCTTTCCATTTCTCTTCTAAATAATTTATGAGCTTAGAAGAACATGTATTAAAAAAAAATAACGAGGGACCATTTTTTGAAGATATGGAATTAGTTTTTTTTTTTTTTTTTATAAGTGCAACAGATTGTTAAAAGAAGATATTAACTAAAGGCCAACCAAACAAGGACACTGACTTGGTGGCTGTGAACAGATGCACTTTTTCTAAACCATAGAAAGACTAAATCCAGACTCTTTCTCCTAATTATAGATATATAACTACAGAAATCAAGCCCCACACTTATCCACCAGTAGAAAAAAAAAAATCCTGCGTCTTCAGTGTAGAGAAGAATTTATTTGCAAATTGCTCAGTACAATAGAGCAGAAAAAAATGTTACAGTATAATTAAATAAGCCAGGTATATTTTCTGACAATGTATATTCTCCGACTGTGTAGGGTCATTTATTTTATACCTTCTGTTGAACTGTATTGGCTTTCATTTTAATAATTTTTTCCCCAAAATATGCCATTATGCTAAAGTCAAATTATAATTATTAATGTCAAAATCATTCCTGGTAAAAAGAAACTTGCTGCTCTAGAAGACAAACTTAATGCACATGCAGATTAACAGTTTTTTTTGTTTTGTTTTTTTTAAATGAGATTTTTTCATATAAAAGAGAATTAACAAAATAAAATAATAATTAATTAAACACTGGATCATGTTTAATCCAGTGTCCTGTTACCCTCTAGTAGTTGCATATTGAATTATTCTGCCAAAACAACTGCAATCATATTTTCCCCCTTTGGCATTCAGTCTTTCCTGTTTGCAAAAAGCTTTTCCCAGAGACAAGGGGAGTTTATTGGCAACATCGTTAGAACATATTCTGGAAGACATGCAAAAAAATTTTAGCAAAATAAAATAATGCTATTGTAGAAACAGTAGAGGGGATGCACAATGTACTGAAAGCTATGGTTTCCACCAGCACTCAGTTTGTCAAGAACAAACTGAGTTTGTTAAAAAGAAAAAAACCTTCAGTTTTTAAGATAATCATCTTTTAAACATTTTTAGAAATCGTTTTTCAGACTTGAAAAACACTACTTGAATATTCATAAACCGTGTAAACATAGAGGAAAATGTTTTGTTTGTGTGAACAGGGTCCATTCAGCATTTCTTCTTATTTTATTTATTAGCTTAAGCACAATGATGTTAAAATAAATTAAATAAATAAAGCCACAATAAATTTAAGGCTTCATATAGACAACTAATTACGCCCGGTAGCCATTTTAATGTGTACACCTATACAGTTCCTTGTGGAAACAACTAATGCTTAATCACATGGCAACAATAAGGAAAAGGAAGAAAGAGAATCAGGAACTACTAAAACAATGGGCCAGCCTGTGTGATCAGAAACTGATGATCCTCTGGGATTTTGATTATTTGTAAACACAGAAAGTGATTAAAAATGGTAAAAATATCTTGTGAGCAAAGATGTTTTGTCCGCATCAGAGGTTAGTGGTAAATGGACAGACTGGTTTGAGATGATAGAGAAGTAACAGTAGCAAAAACAAAACTGATTTATGCAGAATGCCGCCTCGAAATGCAAAATATGTCAAACTTTGAAGCAGATGTACTATAACAGCAGAAAACCTCACAGGGTGCCCGAGTAGTCCGCCGAGAACAGAAAACTGTGGCTGCAGTTTACAGAGGCTCAGGAAAATTAGATGAAAACAGATTGGAAATATTGATTGGAAACACTGTGTTGTCCAATGAGCTTGAATTTTAGCTTTTAAATCAAAAATTGTACAATGGTGTGGGGGATGCTTCGTGGCACACGTTAGGTACCTAAGTATGCGTTGTTTAAATAGGACAACCTACTTGAGTGTTGTTGATGATCATGTCACTGCAAAGCCCTCTTATGACTATTTATATATAACTATACAATAGCCAGTATGTCTGAATTAGCACATCTTTGTTTCAGGACAAAACATGGTAGAACTAAAGCTAACAGAAAGTTAAGATATTCACTGCATTGTTAAAAGTATCTTGTAAGAAGCAACTTAATCCGGACGGATACTTTGCACCTCTTGCTTGTTCTCAGTTATTTGACCTGTTACCCTCTAGTAGTTGCATCAATTATTTTTGAACATAAACAATAAACCAAAGCAAAACAAGCCCCACAGACTAAAGTTTTTTTTCTCCCAAAGCCATAGCAAAGTTGAACTCCAAATGGCATAGATTCAGTAAATCCCAACACTTGCCTTCTTTGCTAAACTGTTACACCCAAACACTATTGCATTGTTTATAGAAGGAATCCAAAGCACAGGAACAATTAGGATAAGCATCATACTTTACTGGGTGAAATACACAATATCTAAATGGTGCAATTTATGTCTACTATCTCCCTTACCACTTATATTTATTCTGTATATTCTGTATAGCAATTGGCCATGCTGCACTTTTTCTGCTATGGTTTCATTTGTGGAGAAGCAGTAGAGCTTAATAAAGAAAATCAAGAGGCCACAAATACACACCAAGGCTCAAACTGTGTGTGTGTGTGATACGTTTATAATAGATTCAGATTAACTACCAGCTCAGATAAACAGATGTACAAATGCTGCTGCTCAGCGGCACAAAGAGAAATGATAAGGAGCATGGAGTCTGTTCTGCTTCACTGTTGCATAGGTTTCGTTTGGATGGATCCGTTTATCTGATCCGTCAAATTATTCAGTAACTTGCCCCAGTTTTTTTTTTAAGAACTACTTTTGCATTAAGAATCAATTATATGCACTCTTTTGTTTAATGGGTTTGTTGATTAGCTGTTTTGCTCAAGTCTTTCTTTGAATTTCTTGGTTGTAAAGTTAATCTAACATATTCCGTTCATCAATGATCAGCTGTTGTGAAAAAATGTCGATAGATGTAATCATGTTTTTATACATTCTTTGAGCTTTGGCGAATCTACCTTATTTCAGGGATGAGAGGAAACTGTACACCCTATGCTAGATAGTGTCAGTCAGTCTTAACTTCAGTATCTTTAAGTCATTGTTTAGTTACATTTGAGAAGGAGTTAAATATAGCTCAACATAATTTCTACTTTCAAACATACACAAGTTATACATGCCACAAAAAGACAGATGTGAGTTGGACCTGGATGTCTTGCAAAGTGCCTGATTTGTCGTTTGTTGTGAAAGTAAAAGTTGAACCTTGTTTTCACTTTGTTGTATCCATTATAGCCGGTTCGATTTTCACTTGAATGAAAAATTTTGGTATTCAGACCTTAGCTGCTTCAGGTTGCAACTGACAACATCTTTTTGCATCCAGGTGTCACTGCGGCATGTGCTGCCCTGGGCAAAGAACCACATTTCCCATATTAGTGAAGGAAAACATAAAAGTACAATGTTTATGACAAGCTTACCCGAAAGGGTGTCCATTTTGGCTAACTACCAACTTTATGACAGTCATCAGTTCATTCTTACCCAGAAGGACATGTATGGACATTTTAACCTCTGTTACTTAAAAAAAAAAAAGTTTCATTTTGTTGTTTTCTTCTTAAAGTAGTTTTGTTGGTAGAAGTGTTGATGACTTAAATATTTGCCTTTTGTTAAGATCTCTTTTATTTAAATTCTCTTTTAGCATTATACCACCAACCTGTCTGGGATTATAGGTGAAAATCGGCTTGTTGGGTACAACCTATTTCCTTTGAACTTTTGTGAGTTAAATACATTTGCAAAAAACAATAAAAATACCAAAAAAAAAATCCAATGACAGATCAAAGCTGCTGATAATAGCATATTTCCTTTTTTTTAATGTGTGAACATTAATAATTGAGGCAAGCTTATATGCCTGTTTATGCTGATCCAAATACTCAGCTCTTGCACAGGTACAAAGTTGCAATTACTTACCATTGTTTGGCATCTGCATCACAGTTGCAGTCGTACTTGGGGTCGGTGCAGTTTTTGTCCATGCCACAGGCGCACTTTTCTATCCCAGGTCCTGATCCGCCCCAATAAAAATGCTTCTCGCTGCCTCGGCCAACCCACCATGTGTAAGGGGGTCCGTCTATGAGTGAAACACAAAATGCAAAGGGAAACCTGTCAGTCTTTTTCCATCCTCTGTGTGTTCGCCGTGCTGCTTATTTGACTCCTTGCAGAAAGGCAAAACGGACGGACGAAAATGCAAACAAGTGTGGAGGAGGTAAAATTGTTTGTTGAACCCTTTAAATTCAATATGTTGAAACGTCGATAACTCCCAAACATTTTATCGAGGTTTCTTTAAATAAGACAATATTGACCACCGATAGCTGCCTGCTGAATGAAATTCATTTGCTCACCATGTTTAGACACGCAAGTACCTCTGAGACTGACAGACACACCTAGTCACAGATCATTCAAGGGGGTTTACAACACAAACACAGGGTCAGCGTTGCATTTTCATTCATTTCTACACGAGGCATGTACGTATAACAATGCCAGAGTACTTATAAGCTCTTTTGAGTGCATCTCTTTATGCTGCTTGTGTGGATGCGTCCATTGTCAGATAAAAGGTGAAGAACTGCTGACTGTCAAGAAGAAATGTGATATTGTTTTATTTGCCTTGAACAATATTTTCTGGCATGTGACGGTAACTATGCTGAGAGAAAAGTGTGAATGCATAGGTGGCAGGCAATATATCATAGCAAAGTAAAATACTAAAAAAAAAAAATCAATATGAGGTTTAAAAGAATATTAGGTTTGTAACTTTATTCCTAGGAAATAAACTGGATGCTCAATGACAGTTTGTAAAATGCCATCAAAGCCAATGGAATCTCCTGAGCCATCCTTTTCACAGAAAGGGATTGAAGCAGACTCTTGATGAAGCAAAACTGCATTGAGAGGCTTGATATATTGCATTATCACAGTGTGCGGGGCTAAACTCCAGGAGGAAGCTAAAAATGTGTCTATGTGTCTCTTTACTGTGTGTATGTGTGTGTGTGCTCGGCCTTGGTGACCCACGGTTTTATTGCTCTTGTGAAGAGAATTAGCTTCATCTCTCTTCAGGCCACTGTTCAGACAAGCCATCATCAGTAGGATTAACAGCGCTGCCTCAAGAGACTTCCTCGTGCTCTCATTTTATGTGTTCATGCGACTCTCTTCTTGCTGTTGCACTTCCATACAAGTGAGAGTTAGTTTATCTAGCACCGTTTCAGCCTCGCTCTTGGAGCAGCGATCCCACAGCACAGCCAACCTGGCCAGAATATCCACGAGAGCCACTCATCTTGTTAAGTCATTGACCCTGAAAGGGATCCGTAGCCTCTTTGAACATGTTCAAAATGAAAGACAAGTGAATGTAAGTACACTCCTCTCACTTAAGTAGATCTTTCGAGCAGAAGTACAAGTACCAAAGGGATACAAAACATCATCAGTGTGTCACTCTCGAATTTACATGTCTCCCTAAATAAAAAAAATAAAAATAAAATAAGACATACCAAAAACTTCTTGCACGTTTTACACAATGGCTATTTAGATGCAGAGTTTTTCACTAGCATGCCAGGAAACTTTTTTTTCCCCTCAATGCAAGTCCAGATTTATGTGATATGTCATATGTGAAAGACTTTGTATTTGTGTATATTTATTTTCTGTACTCTAAGGCTCGCATCTTTAATTTTAGTTTCTTTTTGTAGACCTTTGCCTCTTATCTGACACTTTAGTTTTTATGTTCTCTGTATTCCATGTACTTCTCTTTTTGCTTTGCTTTCCTCTTTTAGAGTTTCATTGTAACCGTTGGATTTGGGACTTTGGGTGATTCCTGCTTTGCTTAGTTTCATGACTGCTCAGTTTGTGGTTTCTGCTTCTTCTCAATCATTCATTCCATTAGATTCTCCCAGGTCTCGCAACCTTCTTGTCATCCACTCAGTCGGTCTCCCTTTTTGTCAGTCCACCCGTTTCTTTCTCCAGTGATCACATCTCTCTCTCCATGTGTGTTCATTTTGTCTCTGCTGTTTCACCCCTGCTGGAATTTTGTTTTTGCTCTGGTCTTTGAAAGCTAGACTTTGTTTTCCATTATTAAGACCTGTTGTTTTATGCATCAATCCTCCCTCCAGTATCCCTGCTTTCCCATATTTGTGTCCTTCATTCACCCACATGATATAAACCTTCACGTATTAGGCAACACAAAAAACGTTTTACATTTCTAAACTATATTGGACAAAGCAGACAGTGTCATTAAAGCAAAAAGTAAAGCAAAAAAACAAAACAAAAAAACAACCAAAACAAACAAACAAACAAACAAACAAACAAACAAACAAAAAAAAACATCACTGCTGTTTAAACATGAGTCAACTTTTAGATTTTGTTAAAGAAATGACCTCAGCCTTGGCAAGTTCTGATGATTTGCATCATATTTTCCCTAACTCTTTGAAGTTTTCTCACCAACATCACAAGCCTCTTTACAGCAAGAGCCATGAAAAACAACCGAAGCACCAGCATGGCCGTGGAAAGAAACATAAAAACTGTTCTGCTGAGGATAAATAGAGAGTAGGAGAGAGCATGGGAAGAACATACTGCAACGTAAATAAATTCTAGTCGCCTTCACAGTCCGAAGAAAGTTGACTAAGAATATGTGAAACAGACACATGTATACCACACATGATAAGTAGTTGAATACTGTTCTGTATATTGTTTATTTGTTTTATTAGACAAATAAACTTTCTCCTGGTGTCTTTTTCTTGAGCACCAGTTGCTTGGTTTGTCTTTCGGCATGCTCCATTTTTGTTTTAACTGACAACATGCTGATCACTGAGCACAACTGTTTCTTGATTTGCTTACAGCATGTATTGTTTTCAAAACTTCAAACTTTGCTTTATTACTGATCACATTTCTCATTTTCTTTTACTTTGTTTACAAAGCTTCATTGACAGGGAACTGGCTTTTTAGGCTACAACTAACTTGGATGGTGTTATGATCCACAGGAAGCATTTTGCACATCTGCAGCAGGTGACTGTAAAGTAATTTTAAAAATGATTCAGGCTAATGGGCACAATCTGTAAAAACCAAGACGAAAAATGCATGTGAGGTAGGTGCAAGAAAAAGTGGGGCAAAATCACACATCCTCTTTATGAAGGAAAATTATGCTTCAGATCTGGTCTAATAGAGCAAGTTCAAGCTAGATGCTAGCCCACTGCTTCACTCTCTGAAATTCTCTCTTACTCCTGTCTGGTCTTCTAACGTGTAAAATTGAAGGCCAGGACTGCATTGTCCCAAAAGGTCAAGGTAATCTACTGCTTTGTCTCACACATCTACTGGAAACGGTCCAAACAAAAGGTCCAAACAAAGCTGCGCCGAATGAAGAGTGCTTGGACACCGAGGTGGCGGGATGTAGATGATTCTCAGCTGCAGAGGAAGAGGTTTATTAATGTGGTTCAGGGACAAGTGCCAGGTAGTACTGATTGGCACAACTGTGGAGCATTACTAATCAGTCTCCCTCTCTCATTATAGGAGTGCTGTAGCCAAAAACACCAGTCTCACAAAGAGTTGCCACCATATGGCGGCCACAATCTATGAACTGCTCTCAGCTCCCTAAATAAATAATAATAATAAAATAATATATCTTGTTTATCAGGGGAGGAAAGCAACTTTATTGCTCTGTTATAATCCTGATTGGGAAAACTGGGAGATTTCCTGGTGGGCCGGTCTGACATTTATGGAGAGGTTGTCTTTGAATTTAACCTGATGTAACAGGGTCACTGCTCATGGTCATTGTTTAAAAGAAGGAAAGCAGAAAGTATTTAATCTCCAAACACTTATTTGAGAAAATATATTTTCTGATATCATGGAAAAAGGATCTGTTGAGTAGAATATTGTTTGGCAAGTTTGATATGAAATCTATACTGTGAAGCAAAAACGCACTATATTACAAAGAGAGGACTATTGTAGATTTAACATGTACTATTTTAAAAGATATAAATAATGATAGATTGTTATCCAGCGTTGGCTGGTCTGAGGCATGAAGCTCCATCACATAACTGCCCAATTAAATGGATTTAGTTTTGTGGTTGTGAAGTTAATAACATTGGAAAAAAAATTAATCCATGTACAGTTTCATGGTACTGCTCCTCTGAGTAAACTCTCTGATGCTGCAGTGATTAAGTAAAATATTTAAGCTCACAAATTAGCTGATTTTTTTCTTATCTCATGGAAAGAACATAAAAAATAAAAATCACTTGATAATTTGCCTGTTACTTACAATGCCTTATCAAAGTTTTCTCTATTTTTGTAGGGAAAAACAGCAAAAATCGAGTATTCCAGAGCCAAAACGACACACTTGACCACTTTCACATCTTGGGTGTCTGTGATAGGGGGGAAGATGAGAGGAGGCAGGAGGAGGGGGACGGTGGGGCATCAGGTGGAATGGGAGCCATGTATTGTGCCAGCTTAAGTCTCCTGTGTGGTTTGGTTTGTTCTGCCAACACAAACAACTCATGAGTGGAGAAGGAGAGAGGAAAAAGAGTGGAAAGAGAGATGAGAGCACAGCAGCACTGATGGGTGAAGATGTTAGGGGGGAGAGATGAAATCAGCCTGGCACAGAGTTCAGATGAAGATCCGCAGAGAGAGGCCGCTGCCAAGATGGCTCCGAGTGGCTTTTTGTTTTTTTTTTTTTTTTTTTGGTGTGTAGGTGCGTCCTTGTGTCTTTGAGAAGAAGAAAAAAAAGTAGGCATCTCTTCAAGGGAGGAAACTTGCAAGGTAAAAAGTGTGATTAGTGTACACAAAGTGGTAGAACACACTCATATTTGTGCAAGTCTACCTAGTGCAATTAAATATAATGTGTTTAACATCCATCCATCCATTCATCCATCCATTGTTAAAAATAACCAGCTTTATAAAAGCTTAGACAGCGTGTTTGTCTGTTCTTTATAACCTTAACTCTCTGCATCTATCCTAATCCCTTTCTGCTTCACCACCAAATCCCCCCACAAACATGGATAATGTTTATAGGAGAGGAGAAAGCAGCCATGACAGATTGATAAGGCCTGGGGTTGTGTT